AGGAGATGGCCGAGGAAAGCACCGAGCGGGGCGCTCGCCTGTTGCGGCCTGGAACAGCTGCTACTAATCAGCATTACATGGACAATCTGTGCTCTCCAGAGAACATTCCATTCTTGCGCGAGGTATAGGGCACTCTAATGAAGGCTCCACCGTATGTGTGGGTGACTGCCAACTTCATCTACGACTTCTCTTCCAACGCCTTCGCATCAGCCTCCTTAGGTGTTTGCGTTCCTGACGCAGCTGTCTTCTCACCTTCCACCACCTCAACATGATCCCCGCGACGACGGCCCTTGCCAGTGATGTCGCGCCACATACCACCGAAGTTCCTGGCTAAACTCTCACGGCCTTCCCACAGAGGATATACACCAACAGCCATAGTACTGCACATCAGCCAGATGATGCCAACGATGACCCATCCTGAGAAGAACGACTGACTGAAGATGTAGCCGGAACCATATAGAGGCATTGGCCAAAGTACGAGAAGAACGAGTGTCAGCGTAGCGGTGGTGATCTTTGCAATCTTGGAGGCGCGGAACAGCTTGGCTTGTTCGGCGGCTTCGGCTTCTGGGGAGAGGGCAGCATGGCGGCCGTGCACGGCTTCGATATCCATGTGCGCAGCTGCTGTGACATCCGAATCGTCCACAAGGCGAATATTCTTCATTGACACCCAGTCGTAGTTGTCAACTCCGAAGATCAGGGTCAGGACCGGGATGAAGATGACGGGTGAAAGTAGTGCGACAACGTTACCAGCCAACATTGGGTTGTTGGCGCCAGAAGTAGCGACAGTGATCACGCCGTCGTTCAGCTTGGAGGTGGTGACGAGCCAGGCGGTGATGCTGCAGCAAAGACCCAACACTGGCGACAAAGTAGCCGCCCATTTGTTCTGACCCTTCCACATCAACGTGAGGGTTGCTGGAAGCACCGCAGACGAGATGATTACGCCCATGAAGACGTACAGCCAGCCCATGCTGATACCTGCGTACCAGAGGCCGGTTGAGAATGCAGCCATGACAAGTCCAAATCCACATACGCAGACGTGTGAAGTGTAGACGAGACGTCGGCCACTCGCGCTGGGGTTGATGTAGGTCGCGTAGATATCGTATGTCAAGATGCTGGAGACGGCAATGAGCTGCGCCGAGAAAGCCGAAGTGACGGCCATGAACACGACCAGTAGAGTAGCCACTGCACCGCCAGATCCGAGGAGCGCCACAGCAGCATACGGAAGAGTGAGGCCCGCGCTGATTGAGGCTTCATCCATGCCATTGGGATAGGTAGGGAAGTATTCCGTGCTCTGCAGGGCCAGAGCGGCGAGGCCCATAGTGGTTGCGCAAAGCCACTGACAACGAGATCAGGAGTGATTCAAGATGCGCATGAATGGAGAACTTACCGGGATAGCGAACCATGAAAGACCTCCGATGATGTATCCAGGAAGAGCATGAACTGGGGATGCGGCAATGGCCTTGTTGTAGTCTGCCTCTAGTCAATTTCTGATGACACTCCGTCTAGAGGAACACTCACATCCGTTGTCCATGAAGACAGTTCCAAAGTTTCCAATAATGTTGATGACGAAGAAGATGGCGCCATCTTTGCTTCTCATCGTAAGATAGCTTCCGCCAGCGTTGCCGGGAACCGGGGTGGTTGCCGAAAGCTCCTGCAGACGATCGTACACTGCTTTGGGCGAGCCGAGCCGGTCACCAGTGGCATAAGTCGTGAATGCGAAAGTAAGAAGGATGATGAGGAGGATAACGGTGTGGACGTAATCTGTGAGAAACGTGGCCTTGATACCACCAAACATGGTGTAGACTACGACACCCAGGGGAAGTAGGAAACAGGCTGCGGCTGTAGGCACACCGGTCAATGAGCTGATGACGGCAGATCCGCCAGTCAACAACATGGCTGTAACAAGTATGTTGGTGAAGAGGCCGAAGGTGATGTAGACAAAATGCGTAGCCTTTCCATAGCGAGCACGCACAGCTTCGAGGAACGTCTATGGAGTGGTCAGTTCTAGCTTCGCCGATAGCGAGAAGCTGTTTCACTCACATGAGCGTTAGGGGCTCGCCTCTTAAGTTCGATCGCAACGGTTGCAAAGAGCAGGATCTGTACGGTAGCACCAGCGGCATACCAGAGAGGTCCAGAAACACCTAACGACGATCAGATCTCTGATTTTCTGTAATGTAGTGTCGAAACGTACCGTAGCGGAACGCGACCGAAGAACTCTGCAACAGGGTAGCTGCCCAAGTCCACGAAGACACTACTGCTGAAGCTACCAAACCAGACTTGACAGTACGACCGGCAGTTGAGAACATCTCTGAAGTTTGCACCTCATTGTTGTAGCGCTTGAGGACCCAAGTGGTGAAGACCTTTAGGTTGTCAGATTGTTGCGCTTGTAGCATTCATGTGTACATACCATGCCAAGGGCGAAGAGAAAGCCAACACCAAGCACGATGCCATAGCCCCAACCCTGGCCAAGGGGAGAAGCAGAAGGGCCAACAGGAGTACCGCCGCCAGCCATGTCGAGAGATGTAGCTTGTTTCAACGTCAAGCTTCAAAGCGTAGGCTGTCGTACCAACCCAGCGGGGCAGACGAGGTATCTATACCCCAATGCATCCCCACGATTACCGTTTCCCGGCTTCAGCTCGGTCCCAAGACTGCTATCTCGAGCCTTTCAACCGCACACAACCATCTCGTCGATTGGCAATCGGGCCGGCACATGATTGGTTGAAGATAGGCGCATGTCAAGACTAGGTAACGTGCAACGACGGCCAAGACTAGAAACCTCTCGTCTTCTACGCAATTTTGAAGCTTATATTAGCAATGAGGTCTTGTTGTAGGGCACTTTCAGCTCTTAGCCGACTGGGCGTTGCATGATCGCTCGCCTATGCTGATAACGAACGGCCTTGCAACGGAGGTGCATCGCGCTTGCCTCGTAGTGGCGGGCAGGACCGAATGGCTCAGCGGAAATTTTCTTGCTCAGCTGTGAGTGGCTGAGATCTGTGACTTTTTGCTTGGGCAGCCAGAGCTGTGTCTGGGCGTGGAGACGGTGGGCATGTTGGAGGCAGGTTGGGGTTGGTGGTTTCGATGAGGTAAACAGGAGAGTGAAGATAAGCGATGGTGTGGTAACCAATGAGGACGCGCTGGCGGTGGAGTCCGAAGTCGGCTTGCATCAGAGGACCCCTGTGGCCCGGCTTTCTCCACGGTAATGATCGACCTGCATCTTCGCAATGTTGTTGTTACTCGATACCTTCGACACATACGTGCTTGTTTGTCTCGAGAGTGAGCTTCAACTGCATTCTGGCCGTCCGCGCACGTTTGCGCGATTGGAGCTTTGAGTCCGGCATCCACGGGCCCTCTTTCCGCCATTCTCTGCCGCAATATTCTACCGCTCCAACAATTTCGTGAGGACAGCATGGATCTACTCTAGCTCTCGCTGGGAGATCAGATGGTACCTGTAAGAGAGTCGAAGTGCTCATCTTTAGGTGTATAGTATAGGAGTGGTTAGAATTGTTGATCCAAACCAGCGGAACAGAATGATACGGAGGATATTCTATCGAAACATTGCGCCCTGCGACTGCGACGATCGTTTTGCGAAACCTACGAGAGGGTTCGTTGTTCAATGTACAAGGAGTTTATGTTGGCGTCGCGCTATGGAGAAGCAGCTCGTTATTGATTCTTCATTTGGCTTACTCACGGTTGCACGAGGCAGTCGTACTTGGAAAAGCCTTTTGCCCAGGAATGAGCGTTGAAAATCTAGGTAAGGCTTCTCTTCGCATTAGTGCTGGTAGTTGTCGACATATCTTTGCAACAGGATTACCAAGGAAGATGTTTCAGCACACATTAGGAGACTTTGAATACAGAGTAAGTAATGTCTCGTACTTGTTGTGCGTGGTGAGGAGCGAGTGACCCGACTCACGGCTCGATTGGCGTGTCCATTCGGCTTCGTACGACGACCACGAGCAACTACCCCGGCCTCTTTCCTAATCAGGTAGACAGTCAGCGGGAGCTTCGGATGTCAAATGCATATATTCTGAAGACTTAAGCACGTTTTCTTGGTTTATACACTTCCACCAGCATCATGCTTTCCATCTTGACACTTCTCGTGGTTGCACTCGGTGCCATCGCGCACACCACCCCAGACGGATGTCCGCACAAGGTGGGTGCGGAAGGCGTGCAGGTTCGCATACCTCCAACGTTCAATACCACCAACCATGCCCATCACGGCAGATCATGGCGACCACCACCTGTCGGTTTTTACTTCAAACCATGGTCAATGATTCTCGCGTCAAACCCTCAGTATGCTGCGATGCGGAACGTCCAGTACGACCCGACACCGATCGATCCCTCTGAGCCCACTGGACTTGTGAACGATCTCTTCTCATTCCAATTCCCAGGCAATGACACAATCATTACAACATATGGCGTCGATACACCGCATCCCTACTTGCCAGCAGTGCTGGACTTTGCAGCGACTGGAATTTTGGTCGGAGCTACGTGCCAATACAGCATCTTGGTTTGGGGCTGCGACGCGAATAGAGTCCCATACTACGCGAGCTATTCGACGGCAGTGGAATCCACCCAAACGCCCCCGGGTATCGACCTGATGAGTACGAGTGATCAAGGACCTGATCAGGAAACGATCGATGCTGTTTCGCAGGCGTTGAAGAAGCTGGGAAACGAGGAGATCACCAAGTATGTTGTAGCTCTAGAGAGAATGGTGCAGGATGGTGGCAGAAGAGGCATGCCTAGGGTTAGTGTTCGTATGCTCCTTGCTGGCACCTATTAACGAAGAACTTTAGGCTACATGCGACGACTATTGCAAGACGAATCAGGGCTTGATCGGGATCGGAGGTTGAGGTTCATAAAGTCGAGCTGGCGAGGTCGTGCGCGAATGCCCTTGCTGCAACGGATGCCTGCTGATGCTTGTTGATGCTCTGTGTCTGGGCTCTTAACAGGCGCATCCCTATAGTCGATGATCAACGAGAAGAAATATGTAGTTCTGTGTAATGACGGCGTAAGTCTTGTGGATATTTGATCCTGCAGTTCGTTGCTTGGTGTTACCAGTGTCGTGTGCCTGCCGCTCAGTCCTAGTCGCGTGTGTGGAAGTCGCGACCGACGCAGGGCATCAGCGTTCAGCAGTCGCTCCTCCGCTGTGGGTCGCGCCAAGGCCGCCCGGCAGTAGCGCCAAAAAAGTTCAGAACTGGTAGATGCAGGCAGCGCAAACCTCGACGAACACCGACGCGACCACATTCCGTAGATTCGAATCAAATTCCGACACGATGGCGAAGCGCAAACTCAACGAGCACGACGTGCCAGAGGTGACATCGAGCGATGAGTCGCAATCTGAGCCCCGCAGCTCCCCCGAGCCCGCGACATCCACCACAACTGCGCCTTCGATTGCAGTCGCTGCCACACCGAAGAAGAAGAAGAGCTCTAAGTCGAAACCTGCCGCTGAGCCAGTCCCTATAGTCGCCTCATTCGCCGAACTACAACTCGAGCCCCGTCTTCTGAGAGCGATCCGCGACCTAAAATGGGCATCGCCAACGGCAGTACAATCTCAAGGCATACCGTTAATACTAGAGGGACGTGACGTCCTCGCGCGCTCGGGGACAGGTACCGGAAAGACGGGAGCCTACTTGTTGCCCATCCTTCACAAGACGCTGCAGCAGAAAGGCCAATCGCTCATCCTGGCGCCCACTAAGGAACTCTGCTCACAAATCGCGACAGTCGCGAAATCGCTCTCACAACACTGTGGGCAATCGATTCGGGTCCGCAACATCGCTGGCAAGGAATCGGATGTCGTCATCAAGGCAGCACTCGCGGACAAACCAGAGATCGTCGTCGCAACACCAGCGAGGGCATGGGCAAACATCAACAGCTCTGCCATGGCAGTCAGCGACATCAAGACGCTTGTCGTAGACGAGGGTGACCTGATCAACGGTTACGGGTTCGCAGACGACATGGAGAACATCGCCCGGGAGATTCCTGTTGGTGTCCAGAAGATCGTCCTTTCAGCCACCCTCTCAACTGATGTTGAGTCACTCGGCAGCCTGCTCTGTACAGATCCAGTTGTACTAAAGCTACAAGACCTGGATAAAGACTCGCAGAAGGTCAAGCAATACGTCCTAAAGGTGGCAGAGGACGACAAATTTCTCTTGCTTTTCGCCATGATGAAACTCAATCTGGTCCATGGAAAGAGGTAAAAGGCACCGGCATGAACTACATTGGGGACTCACGCTGACTTTCTCCCCCCAGTATCGTATTCGTTGGCGACGTCGACCGATCATACCGCGTCAAACTCTTTCTCGAGCAATTCGGCATCAAGGCGATCGTACTCAACTCCGAACTGCCGCTGGCGTCCCGAACACACATTGTGGAGGAGTTCAACAAAGATCTCTATAAGATCCTCATTGCTTCAGACGAAACCGACGTCGTTGGCGTGCAAGATGAGTCGCGACCAAAGAAGAAAGCGAAAAAGGACAAGGAGACCGACTCCGGCGTCTCTCGCGGCATCGACTTCCTCAACGTCAGCTGTATAATCAACTTCGACTTCCCCGGGAACTACAAATCATACTTCCATCGAATTGGACGAACAGCACGAGCCGGCAAGTCTGGCACGGCCATTTCGTTCATCATCCCGAAGGAGAAATACCGCAAGCATAAGCCGACTACATTTGCTGGATGCGAACATGATGAAGAGGTTCTGAAGAAGGTAGAGCAGCATCAAGAAGAGGGCCAAAAGCTGGAGGATTACCAATTCGACATGAAACGATTAGAGCCATTCCGATACCGGTTCGCAGATGCCCTGAAGTCGGTGACCAGGATCGCCATCCGCGAGGCACGTATCAAGGAAATCCACATGGAGCTGGCAAAGTCGCAGAAGCTGTCGCGATACGTAAGTTCACCCGCATCATTCACTGCTGGTTCATACTAACATTGCAACAGTTCGAAGAAAACCCTGAAGCACTCGCGCATCTCCGCCACGACCAGACTCTCAACCATCCCGCGAGAATACAACCCCACTTGCGACACATCCCCGATTACCTCCTACCAGGAGGGAAGAAGCCGCAGGATGTTGGCTTTGTCGGCCTGAACATACCAAGGGCGAAGAAACAATATACCAAGGGCAAGGGCAGGAAAGTGGTACGAAGGAATGGCAAGGTCGACCCTTTGAAGACGTTCAATGCGAGGGGCAAGGGGAGGAAGTGAGGCATTTCGTCCTTGAAGGTTCTCTATTTATGTCTACGAAAGTCAGCCACCAGCTTTAGGAATACAATACAATGGCGAGCCATCCTTCCAATGATCGTAATATCTAGAAGCCGGTAACATGTGTTCACGTGGCCATTGCTCAGTACCTCTCATCCGATCCGCACATACATTATGTAAACATTCCTGAAGTCGAGCATCATACTAAGGTGAAAGAATTGGGTATAGTCTTTACTGCGCGGATGGACGTGTTTGTGAGCATCGGCCTTCAATGCTATGGTCTCAAATTGCACTGGATGCATCCGCACTTTCTCTTCGCGTTAGCCGTAAAGATTGCATGTCGGTTGGCACGTTGTAATATTTGGTGTCGATGCCGTACTATATCTGGATGATGGGCGCGGCGGTGCGGACCCACTAGATGGCGCGTGACCCATGCCGCCTTCCGCTCCACCCCTCCACCCTCGAACACTCTTGCGCACCCACGATCTATTGACGAGCGCCCTGCTAATATCGTCAGCGTGAATGCGACCTGTCTCAAACGCCGACCTCCTTTCCATCACGGCCAAGATATTGCGCCTCCGACCCTGGCAGCTACGCGCCGCGCCTCGATGCCGCTGGACCTATGGCTTCAAAGTCGCGCTCAACGGATCATCGGATTTCCAGTAATCGCGCTTCATCTTCTAAGAAGCACCGGTGCCCATGCGCCGTGTAGCGAGAGAGGATGCAGAATGTGTGTATTGACATCCGGATACCGCAGCCTCGAACCCACCCGAATCGCGAAACTCCCGCATACGCTTCGATCGAACACCGCCACTCGTAGTCCTTCGTTCGCCGTACGCCATCTCACGATAGGAAAACTACGGTACCGACTGGGCCTATCACCATACTCTAGCAGACCAGATCACGAAAGGCACCTGCTTTTGTAGGAGAAGTCATTCAATTTGGTCATATATAACGTATGTGATGGGGAGAAGGCCAAAAGGACGGTACGCGAACGCACCGGACCTCGTCAACGCCAATATGGAATACTTCGGCCGTTAGTTTCGTGATCTCATAAGGGTAGCTGAAACTTTCGCCGATCGAATGGGGTCAGGCTCTACACTCGTATACCAACATGAGGCAGTTACACACGCTGAGAAGAAAACCCACCCGATGACCAGCTGTTCGAAGAGAAGGCGTTCGAAGATGAGGGAGCAGGCGTAATTGGTGTGTGGTTTTCCTGCTGCCAGTAGCTGAGCAGTGCACTGATCTGGTCTTCGCGGACTCGGCCAATGTCTTTGACTTTGACGTTCATCTCGATTGGATATACTTTGCCGAATCGGATGCGAGACTCCCTCCTGATACTCAGGTTTGGTTCAGCTGGCACAACCTCGATTGGCTCTTTGGTCATGCCGCTTTCATATTCGCCGGGAATGTAGCATGATGCAGGATCAGTTCCGGAGAAGTACACGATTGTGTGTTCGGCTGGGTTGCACCCGTCCTTGAGAGTGCCACGGCCGGAATAGGTACCGATACCACTAACATGGATCAACACTTCGCCACGACTTCGGACAGCTGCACAGAATCTTACCAAGCGTTCACGAAACCCCGCCTCACTTCTACAACAACGAAGCGGCGAATATTAGTGTGTGCGGTTTGCCCAAACCGTATCACTGTGTATGCTTCGTCGTTGGGGTGCTGGAAGGAGGTGTCGCTTGCGGTCTCGGTGTATAGCATGGCAAAAATCTTGCCCACTTTGAAAAACTCTCGCGCTTCGTGACCAGTCCGCATCCGATAAGCTGGCATGGTATTAGAAGAAACCTGCGAATGTGTTGATGTACTGACCAACGTCTAGACGATCATACCACCCAGTCTGTGGCGTGCCTGATATGAAACCTTGTAGCGTACGAACGTCTCGTGGAGCTAGGAAGACCAAGTCAGTGCCTCCTCTGTTGCAAGATGACTAGTTTGTCATACCCGGCTCCGGCATCTGCGGCTCAAGAATTTGTTGCTCGATCGCTGAGTCGTGTCTGGGACGCGTGTCGAGTGCCTGAGACCCAGCTTGTTGGACGTAGGCTTGAGACTGTTGGCGCCAATAGTAAACAGGGCGTTCTAGAGCGGTCAGCGGCTGGACATCAGCGTGAGACGTTTTATAACTGACGGTACTGATCGTATACGACATAGTAGTAGTTCTGGTATTCGTCGCTCCACGTCCATCCTGGATTGTTGTCCGCCATGTCGGGCTTTCTGTACACTGAGGCTCAAAATGGGCGAATCTCCAAACTTGTCTGGATACACAATCGAATTGGGGTCGCTTTCGAGATTCGCCTGCGACACCTATGTGGGTGGCTCGATATCCCTGCAAGGTATTACTTACTCTTGCAGAGACTGAAGGTATGTCTTATATGCGCAAAAGCTGGGAAAGCGGGAGCATTGCGGCTCTGCTATCTCATAAGGATCAGCAGAAGAGGGTGTGATGCGCGCCATGAATCTGGGATGGCACAACTCCACCTCCGCAACAACCTGCATATGCGCTGTATCTGCTTTCCCTTGGGATGTCGAGCAGGCGCGTACTGTATAGAGACGCTTTCGACGCGCAACAAGGCGACTTCCCGGCTAGACCGGTTTTGCATTTTCAAAACCGGCACGGCCCACACATATTCTGGAATGGGGCGTGTACCTCCACGCACCAATCACCCGAACACAAGTATTGTTACTAGATAAGCCGGAAACCTGCATGCATAAGCTGATTCGCTTTGTCGTGTTACTACACCCGAGCGCAAATCAATTACCGGCTGGACGGCTTCAGCTCCTCCCATGTTTGACAACCCGAACGGACACACGCGCTTGCTGGTCCGTGGCTCTCACGGACATTTATCTGTCACGTACGGTCTTATAGGGGAGTGGTCGGCCTTGGAACCTGACCAGTGTCTATTCCTGCCAATTCTCAAGGGTAAGGCTGAGCATGTTGCAAGGGTCGTCCTTGAGAGCCATATCACGCTGTCATTTCTGTCATGAAAGAGGACTTCATCCCCCGTAATACCAACACTGCAGAATCATCCTTCCACCTACACCTCATTGGAATTGTCGACGCGAGATGGAAGAATACTTTCCGACCGAGGTTGAAAGAACATATACTACACAAACCCAGCAAAATCGACCTAACGTCGAGGCCCGGTTGGAGGGCTTGTCAGAATCGCAAGATCAGTTAGCTTCAGCTCGAAGGCAGCTGCTCATCACGCGTGAGAGGGTGCGGACTGCTAGTCGCAATGTTCGATTAAAGCGGGTTGACGCTGGAGACGCTGAAGTCGTTTTCATGAACCGACTACGACATTTCATCAACGAACCTAAAGATGGGATACCGGAGACTCTACTGGACGCCTATAATGCTGTTGTGCAAGCCCGCGATATTCTGGGGGAAATCGAGGAGGATTACCTGCAAGCTGAACGCGACCTTACCGGGGCTGAATGGAGATTCATGGATCAAGAGAATGGGTTCTATCAATTCGATATCTGGAGCATTGTCAATCAGGAGGATTCAGAAGGTGTGGCTGCTTCTCAAGATCAAACGTATGATCTTCCTTCGCATCCACCACCGCCGCAGTCGTCCCCGCCGACCCCCGGTCCCATCGCATATGCAGCAGGGTGGTTCGATACAAGCCATTATTCTGCTCATTCGCCGTCCTTGCGCTCTGTGGTCTCTACTCTGGACGTCACCGCTACGCCTATCCCCACGAGTGAAGTATACTTCGCTAAACTTGCCGAAGTAGAAAGATTACGGAAGGGTTTCGACCGAATTCGGCACGACAAGGCATCTGATATCGTATGGCAAGAGGGAGGGGGAGTGCTATTTGCTGATGGAGTCGAAACTGCTGATATTGATCCCGCAGCTCCCAATAGCGATTACTTCCAGATTCTAAAAGAACTCTCGGCTTGTGAAGCTAGCGCTCAGCAGCTGAAAGTAGCAGCTATGTCTGGAATCCGAGAAGTACCGGCTTGGCCTTTGGCAAGACGGAATTCCGATCCAATGTATGACCTCACAGCTACACCACCATGTTCAGCATCGATGCGACGAACACAGACCGAGAGTGCTATCCATTCGATCAAAGATGATCCTACAACGAAAGAGAAGATTCGGGAGTGGTCTCTCACATATCTTAAAGCCAGCGCTGTACAGAAGTGCATCTATCTGAACGCACTGGAGGATCGTGAAGTCGCCAGTTCAACCGATGAAGATTGGAAGGCGCGGGCAACACGGTTCTGGAGCAACGATAGCGTCGACGAGGTCGCGGGTAGGAACGAGCGTTGTGAGACCTCTACCATCGGAACGAGCCACGAACCTGTGTCTTGTCGCGATGGAGACGTTGTGGAGAGCGCACCTGCTTCTCTTGAGTTGCGATCACGACACCCAAAAGAGATGCACCCTTGCGATCGAACAAATGGCAGTACAGAAGGCTCCGAGCTACGCGAGATGCCAAAAGAAGATGACCGGGATGCTTTGTCGATATCATCTCCGTCACTACCGCTGTCACAGCGTCATCGGTTGGATGATACGGGAAGAAAGACGGGCTGCCCGATAGTATCTTCCAATGGGCTATATCCGGATATACGGCAGCGAACAACTGAAAGTGGCATTCCGGTGGATGATGTCGCCGAAAAAATCCGGTGTACTTGTCCTCCTGAGTACAGCGATGCGGCTAAACGGAAAGACAGCGTCCAAGGCACAGATATGGAGCATCATCGTAGCTGTGCGATAGCCGTCAGGCATAGTCTCGGTGTTCGTACGCAACTTCCAGCGCAAATACCACGGGGTCTTGAGGAAATCATTACAAAGACTTCGAAAAACTATGAGCATGGCGATCTAACACAGCGAATGCTTCCTACTGATGCTCATCCGCCAATTCCCACCGCCTCGGATGTTGCAAAACCCATACGCGTCCAGCCAACTTTGGGTAGTGAGACCAGGACCACCTCACCAAGCCCTCGTGTGCATTTACCTATAGCACCTACTCCTGATATTGGGG